AGAAACCAGACAGTAATATTTACAAAATAATTGTCTTCACAAGTGCATAATAATACATGTAGTTGAAAGATCACAGGAATGAGTTAAACAGTTATATAAACATTCATGATATAAACATGGCAAAGAACTTAGAAAAAAGATGGGTCGATCTTCCCTCTTCTCCGTCATGTATCTCCTTTATTTTTGGTTTGTGCATCTTATGCCACAGATGAAAAGGTGTCTTAGTTTATGTCAAGGTAATCATTCCATACGCTTTTTTTCACTGTATCCTTAATTGTTATCTGCTGTAAATTTATCATTTTTTCATGGCATGATGATTATGTCTTTCGGACAGTAAGGGTTAATACTGCTGAATAGTACAACTATATCTAATTAGAAGATACTGATTGAAAGCCTAAATGTGATGGGTTTTCAGATGCACACCTATTTCAGATTTTTACCATAGAAAATAGTCATAAAAAATATTACGCTCTGCGAGATTACACACCTAAGAGGAATCTGGTCTTCCTGGTTTTGCTGAATCTACAAAGGCCAATGTAAGGCTTTAACTATATACATCAATAGCTTTATTCTATAACTTTCTAACAATTATACATCATAACTGATGAACTTTTACGTATTCGTCAATTTAATTTTTTTGTTTCCTGATTTCTGCCAGTATTTATGTTTGAAATGAAATTTTAAACTTGTTTCACCAATACGCACACACACAAAACACATAAACAAACCTGCTTCTGATGTAAGTGTTTTCCGAAATGGATGGACACGGCGAATTTTTAAAATATTCTTGTTGTTTGCCGAATTCTGATAAATGAAGAACTACGAAAAAAGTATGACTTGCTTTGTACTTTGGACTCCGGTGCTTTCTCTAACTTTGCAATGAGTTTGTATTTGTTTCCATGTTCTGCAATATCCCTCCTTTCCTGAAATTGTCTCCTTTACCTATTTCTTGCCTATTCTACAACTTGAGAAACGACAGCTTTGTTTTCTGATGTGGAAGAAACGAAAACGTTTCACATTTTTGTTGTTCATTTGTTTCGCTCGGATGTAAATAAACCGAGGAGAGGGAAACGAGAGCAAAGTTTTAATGCTGATACTAAAACTATTTCAATGATAGGGATTGCGATTATTCTTGTGATAATTACAATAATGATAATTATAATAATGACGGCGATGGTAACAATAAGAGCAATAATCATGATGATTAAAATGATAATGATAGTGTAATAATGTTGATAATAACAATATGAATGATAATAATGAGAATGAGGATAATGATTATAATAATGAGAATGACAATAATGATAACAATGTTAGTGATGGAAGTAATGACAATGATAATAATAGTATTGGTAATGTTGAAGATAATAAGGATAATAATAGCAATAATAAATACAAATAACAATGATAATGATAATATGATATGATAATGATGATAATAATAGTAATATTAGGAATGATAATAATAATAATGTTAATAATAACAAAAATGATAATTAGAGTAATAATAATAATATTAATAATAACAATAAACAATAATGATAGTAATGATAATGATAATAAAAAAATAACAATAATAGTAATCATAAATAATAATGATAATAAACAATAATAACAATTTGAGGTACGTCATAATGATAATAATAATATTAATGATAACAATAATAATGATAACAGCAATAATGATAACAACAACAATGATGATAAAAATAATGATTATGATAATAATGATAATGATAATAATAATAATGATAACAATATTGAGGATAATCAATCAAGAGGTACGTTGTAATGATGTTTATAATAATAATGATAACAATAATCAACCCACGGCGACGATGACATCATGCTTACAGGAAAAAATGTTGCAGATCGTTGAACAAAGGGAAATAATTTCATATTTTCCCGGTTTTCAGACTCAGACTGTGTGGTTCACGCTTCAAGTGCAAACAGCGCTTGTCTGGGCATCCTTGCCACGGCCGATGCACAGGCCCTCGTTGGTTTCATGGAACTAAACCACAAGCAACAGAGTAGAGTGACTAGGATTTGTTTTCATCAAGAAAGCATGGCGGAGGCGTCAGCGTTGGCATTCTAACGATTTCCTCGCTAGATTTCGAGCTTTTAAGTTTGATTTAGTGGGCGATTTTTGAAAGTCTACTCTATATTTAGCGATTTTTAGTCTTTTTTTATATCGGAAAATGAGATTTTACAGATATCCAAAGTCCAGTCTAGCGATTTTGTGGATCAATGGCACACTGGCCATCGTGTAATGTACATAGCGTTCACTTTATGTCTGTCGTGCGATATACTGTTGTGTGATGCAGTTTAAGTATAACAAGGAAAGGGTTCTCCGTGTATATGTTATTGATACCAAGATAAACTCTCTTTATGTTATTTGTTTTTATTGTTTCATGATCAAGTTATTGACAAGAACTAAAATAACTGTTCAGTTTGTTCAGATTCTAGTGTTATAAATTTGGGATACAGAAAAAGGATAAAATAATTTTTTGATGCACTGATTTTTATTTGCGTTATAGATGTGTATAAGCAATTCTTAAATTCTCAAAAGGGTTAAAGTAAAATCAGAATGAAGAAACATGGGAAGCAAATCATGGGATTCACTCTGTATGCTAATCTATATAATAGAGGTTTCCGTATCGGACCTAATCATGTACCTGTTCAGGAACTAGGTATTAGAGCTATGGTGGTACCTGGAAGGGGACCAGGGCTGGAACCTGATACGGCACCTGTACAGGTAGCTGATAAGGCATCCGTATTGGGACCTGGTAAGGAATCTGCCCAGGAATCGGATAAGGTACCTGGGGCGGAAGGGGATAAAACACCTGACTTGGGAGCTGATAGTGCATCTGTGCTGGGACCTGATAAGGGGCTTGGACTGGAACCTGATAAGGGGCTCGGGCAGGAACCTGATAAGGGGCTAGGATTTGTTCATCCTCGTAATTCTTTGACTGCTCATTTGGTTGATGTGATTGTTCAACTATATCCTGATGGCTCAGTTCCAGATTGTCCTGTGGTTGTTCAGCTGGTCCCTGGGAATCCAGTGATTGTTCAGCTGGTCCCTGGGAATCCAGTGATTGTTCAGCTGGTCCCTGGTGATTGATGTGGTTGATTGTTCAGGGAATCCAGTGATTGTTCAGCTGGTCCCTGGGAATCCATTGATTGTTCAGGAGGTTCCTGGGAATCTTGTGATTGTTCAGGAGGTTCCTGAAAATCATGTGATTGTTCAGGAGGTTCCTGGTAATCCTGTAATTTCTCAGCTAGTCCCTGGTTATATGGTGCTTGTTCAGCAGGTTCCTGGTAACCCTGTGACTGTTCAGGAGGTTCCTGGTAATCCCGTGATTGCTCAGCTTGTTCCTGGTAACCCTGTGATTGTTCAGCTAATCCTGGTATTGGTGCTTGTTCGGCAGGTTCCTGGTAATCCTGTGATTGTTCAGCTAGTCCTTGGGGATCCTGTGATTGTTCAGCTGGTTCCTGATAATCCTGTGATTGTTCAGGAGGTTCCTGGTAATCCTGTGATTTCAGCTAGTCCCTGGTAGTGATTGTTCAGTAGGTTCCTGGTAATCCAGTGATTGTTCAGCTAGTCCCTGGTTATCTGGTGCTTGTTCGGCAGGTTCCTGGTAATCCTGTGATTGCTCATGGTTCCTGGTAATCCTGTGGTTGTTCAGCTGGTTCCTGGTAATCTGTGGTTTTCAGTGTCCTGTGGTTGTTCCCCTGGTAATCCTGTGATTGTTCAGCTGGTTCCTGGTAATCTGTGGTTGTTCAATCCTGTGATTGTGGTTAATCCTGATTGCTCAGTAATCCTGTGATCCCTGTCTTTGCTGTTCCTGTAATCCTGTATTGTTCAGCTGGTTCCTGGTAATCCTGTGATTGCTCAGCTGGTTCCTGGTAATCCTGTACTTGGTAACCACCTATTAGTTCCCCAACCTCCTCGTAACCGCTGTCGATGTCGCCTTGCACTTCGGGGTCTTCCATCGGCAACTTTTTCTCCAAAGACGTTTCTTCTGAGTTGTCTTCCTCGGAGCTCTCTTCTGAGCTCTCTTGAGATACCTCCTTAGACGTCTGCTTGGAATCCCCACTGTAGAATAAGCTCCCAAATTTCTGGAAAAGCTTGCCGAGAAATCTGGTGTTTCTGGGGGAGGGGGGGGAGGAGGAAAGTCGCAATCAATTTTTCTAAAACTCTTTTCTCAAACTGTCTTTCATTCTCATTATTTTTTCTCTCTCTTTCTCATCACCCACCTCTCCTTTCCTCCATTTATCTCTCTATCTCTGTTTCTCTCTCACACACACAACATTCTTTCCCCTCTTTCTCTCTTCTTTATTCATACTTCTCACTTTTCTTCTCTGCCCCATTCGCATTACCCCATTCCTTCCACTTTAGCTCGCAATATAGCCACCTGATTGAATACCTACCTAGCGAATCCTGGTTGCGGCCATTGATCTTCCCCGGCCTTCAGTGCCGTCCATCCCCGTCGTCCCGTGTCTTCATAGGTCTTCGCGGCTTTCAAATAAGTGTCCCCGTTTTGCTCGTCGCTCTCGTCTTCACCAGAATTTTCCTCTCCCGAGAACTGTCCCATTGGACGACCAGCCTGTTCCTCGTCAATGGCACGCTTGCTAACTTCATGAAGCCCTTCGTCGTCATACTGATCATACTGGTCATTGTCATACTGAGAGTTGTCGTAGTGGGCGCTGTCATACTGAGAGTTGTCATACTGAGAGCCACCGTAATCGAGATCCTCTTTATTGTCCTTGTTTCTCCTTTTCGGCGTCCCCGTGATTTTGGATGACTTTCTTCCTTGGTCACGGGACTGATTTTTGGGCCGGAACAAAGAAGTGATGGCGGACCAGAAGCCCCTCTTATCCAGGCTGACCTCGGGAATTCGTAGAGATCTCCTAAATCAGAATGCATTAGATATTATTTCATCATAGGAATCCAACAAAGACGTATTTGGCAGGCTTTAGGTGAAATACTACAGATGAAT